GCAATTATAATAGAGGCGTGCTTTCGATGCGTCATTCAGTTTCGGTTTTTAAATGCAAATTATAACTCATTAGTGTCGCGCGACGGTTTTTTTTTTATCCCATTACACGTCACACCTCTTTCTTGTGATAAGGTTACAACTTGCTCTAAATAACCACAAACTGCGCAAGTGATAGTTAGGAGAGGTAAGAGCGTAAAAGGAGCCTGGGACTCGCCTGAACACGCAAAAATATCGCCTGTCGCTTGAGGTTGTTTCTATTCTAGTCCCTTTCCAACATAACTCATCAATGTCACGCAACGATTGTCTTTTAACACTTTACACCTCAACATCAGTATGCCTATTCTCCACACTGTTCTTTATTCATTTCTAAGGTGCTGAAAAGGAGAATTTGTCTAATAATCAAGAGATTGTAACCTATCATTTCCTTTATTCTCGTGACCTTCATGTTTGATTAAGAGAGTTAAAAGAACAAATAAGTTGGATGTGTTCGCCACATGTTGGAGCTGACACTAATGTAATATTTTTTAGACGCAATGACACCAAAGCTATTAGAATAGAAAAAGTAACGCAGAATGTGGTAAAACAAACTGAAATGGTTCCGTTGCAAAGGTTTCTGAAACACTATTACCCCACAAAGAAATTCTTCCTAAATGGTTTTGAATTTAGAGAACTCGGCACCACACCATCTTCTGATGCGGGATGATTGGAAATGGGATATAAACACTACTTTCAATTTCTTTGACTCAGTAAATTCTGCCATAAACAAAGATCGTTCCTCAAATTACTAAAATTCATTTAAATTCCAATGCATGACTAACTAAGGCTTACAATTGCAAGCAACTTTCTGTATATCAACGTCGATCTAACGAGCGTCTCAAAATTAAATGAATGCATTAGTGTTAATATACACCATAATGCATTTCCTCGTCGCTTTAAATTAGGAATTCAAATAAACTGACAAATACTATAAAAAAACATACCTAGAGCCATAAAAAATATTTATTCTTGGTTAGCTATCAGACACCCATGCGAAAATGTTTTGTATCTAGAGACGTAAAGCGACAGCACTGCCTTTGCGATGAATTGGGCGTCATTCCTTGTCGCCTACTTTTCTGTTGCTATGTATGAACTCAGTTTTGTATGTGTAGAACTAAAGTAGTAAATATTTGGGACTTTTCCTCAATCACTCCACCGAAGAAGCGGCTATGGTGGAAATGGCTTAACGAGTTAATTAGCCTTCTGTCTGTCGAGTTACTCCGGGTTCAATGCCTCCAATGAAAAAAGAATATTTGGTCGTTGGTCAAAGGGAGGCGGGTGGGGGGGGGGCATGGCGCTTAATAGCTAATGTCTGCTTAAGCGCGTTTCAACAACTGTTTGTTATCTTTTTAGTTGGGATCACATCACTTTCTCTGTTTCCATTTGGAAAGAGCCGTTGAATTTCGGATCGGGGAGGTTAAAGATGACTTGCTATCCACTTCCACTCTTGTGATGTGTCAAGCAATCGTATCGAACCGTACTGTGAT